GCTCACGTGTCAAATTATCCGTGGAAATGTGGAATACCTCATCTTTTTCTCTGTCGGAATCGATGACTGACAAAATCAAGCTTTTCCTTATTGTGCTAATTGGTCGTATGATAATCCACGTGTAGGGCAGCATTTTTTTTTGGGTCTTTTGCATAAAAAACAAAAACAAAAAAGTTGGGAAAATGGGATGGGGCAAAATCTTGACCTTTGGATCTAGGGTTTTTTGTTAGTTTTGAAATTATAGTTTTTTTTGTTGTTTTTTGGCCAATTTTCCCATTTTTTAATGTCACTTTTGTTTTGTCACTGTAAGAGCATCTATATTGGAAACATTTTGTAGATGTATTGAAATATAAAATTAATAAAATTTGAGTAAAATGAAAGAGATAATGAGTATTTTTTGAGAGAGAATATCTCGTGGAAGACAAAGTTGAAAAGACAATGGATGAAAGTTGGAGTGTGTTTAAATATAAAATTAATAAAAGTTGAGTAAAAGRAAGAAGAGTGTTYWTAAATAAGAACTTTTGGARAGTGTTYTTAAAATGATGAGAGAGTGTTTAAATATAAAATTAATAAAAGTTGAGTAAAATGATGAAAGAGAAGGTATAAAGTTGAGTAAAAGGAAAAGAGTGTGTTTTTAATATTTTTTTTATTTAGAAACATCCATATTTTGTGTGTAACGTGGATGGCCTAATGTCATTGTTATATCATTAAAGTTTTCGTAAGAAAAAAGTGACTTTTGGCTCCGGAAAATCTGAAAGAACAATTATTTTTCTTAGCCAATAAATTTTCCATTTGTTTTACCAAAAAAAGAGATAGAAACTTTATCCATTTATGTTAATTTTTAGTTCTTTACCATATATTAATTGTTACCTATTTATAAATATTGTCTTTTATTAATCCAGAAACACAATTTTTCAGCACACAGTTAAAATTTGAAAAATATAGAAAGTAATTATATATTTTACATAATCTAGCTAAATAAGACCAAAAAAGAAAAATCTTTCAATATTTTTCTAAGTATTAACATTATTGGTGATTTGTTATATTTTTGGAAAAACTTAAATCTTAATTCACTTGGATTTACCTATTGACAATATTTAGTTCATGAGTACTAGCTGGAAATTTTAAATATACCTATTTACATTATTTAGTTCATGCATGACTACTAGCTGGAAATTTTAAATATTTTTTCTTGGTATTAATGAATTTTTTAGTTTCATTTTCTGATATTACATAAAAGAATTATTTATGTATATATTACAAATCTATATTTTCCTTATAGATAAATGTGTAATAGTTTCTTTGTGAATTAGCTACTTATCATCCAAGCCACA